ATAATTCATTAGTCTCATGTGCTTCCATAATCAGGTCTTTATTCGCGTTCCCGAGGTGGTTGTCCGACCCGAACATCCTGTCCATTACAAGCTTCCCTTCGACAAGGATTGGGAGCTCCCTAGGAGCTGCCTTCGCATTGGAGAGAAATTGGGAGAAGGTGCCTTTGGTGTCGTTTATCTCGGAGTCATCATCAAGCCTCGTAAAACACCACAGACTCCTGTGTTTCTCAACAAGCCCTATCGCCAGCTTCGCGAGCGCCTCCAACGGCCTACCATTAAATTTGAAGAGGAACAGAAATGCGACATCAGCTTCTTTCAGCCTAATCAGAAGGCCAAGCTGAGCAAATACGTTCCACTTGGTGATGGTCGAGCTTCTTTTGATTTGGATGATAATATGTTTGTTGCAGTGAAAACTTTGAAAGGCAAGCTATCTTATCGATTATTTGATTTTCTCAACCTTGTTAGAAAAGATATTTCATCTAGCAGTTTTACCGACATGTTTTGTTTGTAGCTATGACAACCAAGATGGTGTGGCCCTCTTTGCTTGGTCTCATTCTCTAGCTTGGACTGCTTCGTTCTTATTGCATAATATGCCCCAGTAGATTCTTCCTCAACTTTCATAAGGGCTTGAGCTTCGTATTGGCCAAGTGTGTTTAAATGTGTGGCTTAGTTTGTGAGCTAACTTTTCTGATAACAGTTACGCAGATGGTAAACCACAGCTCGGTTTGCTATTTATTTTCTCTTTGATGAGCTATTTTATTTACTCATTCAGCCTATTATGTTCTTAATAGTCACCCATTCTTGTCCTACTTTGGGACAACTCTGTTATCTAAAGGGCTTTTGTATTCGAAATATGGAATCCACTCTCATGTCCGCTGAATTCGAAGGCGATTGTGAATCTGTGCATCTGCATCACGCACTATGCTGTTTTCTTTCAGAGACAGTATTACAAATAAAATTTTCATTAATGACCTAGTTCTGGCCTCTTCTCCGTTATTTCAATAGTTGAGTTTAATCACGCATTCAATTTACTATTTCTCCAGTCTTCAATAGTTGACAGCAATTTTTCAGAAGCCTCTTTC